AAATAACATCTGACTTCAACATATGATTTGAGATTTGAAATAATATCTACAGAAACTATTAGACGAAATTCTCACTGATCCATCTTCAAAGTTTTCTTTCCAAAATTTTTATGCACTTAATTTAGTGTTAAGCATAATACTTCAGCCCAACTGCAAAGGTGTTTGACTTTAAGAGTACCTGTGACATGGCGCTGGACACTTGTGATTCCTACACCGCAGCCTCCGGTCACAAATCTACACTCTCACAATTTGTACTTCAGTTAGTAATCTCATTTTCAAAAAAAATTAGGAGTATTAAATATAATACACACACAATCACAAAACGCATATTTATGTATAAAATAACCTCCGAGCAAGGTGGACAATCCCCATTGCAGCAGCGCCGCTTACAAGCATGCCGACCACAATCCCTAACTTTCTGACACTTCCTCTCACACGTCAGCTCTTGATAGCAAGGAACCTATTCTACATTCAAATCCAGCATTCCCCGTGTTACACAATCACAACAAATAAACATATTCTCAAACAAAACCTTTCAAAAGATAACTTATTTCTACCTGTTTCTTCAGGCTCCCACACCTACAAGCCTTGGTAACCACGATCCTACACGTCTCGAGGCACGGCCCACGATGGCACCTCTCGTGACACCTATGAAACCCACAGCTCAAAACCTTTTCGCAAGTGGCCCCACACAGAGGTACGGTCAAATCACACGCCATCCCCTCATAAACTTTTTTCCCACAAGGACAAGTCCTCTTCCCCTGAAGAGGGCAATCCCCACACTCTCCTTGATGACATCCCCTTTCACATACATGCTTGCCACAGCCCAACATCTTATTGCAGCTATTTTCGCATCTAAAGTCCCTTTCACAACACTCTCTCGACATCTCCAGCTTCCCACATCGACATTTGTAGGTCCCCTTCCTCCGGCATGCCGGGCACAGCCCGTCGTGGCAGATCTCGGTGCATTTGTGGACCCCACACTCCAATGGCTTCCCACAAGCGCCGCTGCAGGAGAAATTCTTGAACCCGCACCGCCTCACATCCTCTGACTTCCCACAGAAGCAGCAGGTCCTGACGAGTTTCGGGCACGCCGGGCAGGGACCCGGGTGGCACAGCAGCAGGCAGTGATGCCCGCAGCCGTGACTCAAAGGACGGCCGCAAATCTCCCCGCACGAGTGGGGCAGGATCCAAGGGTCGCGGGGCGGATCCTGGACTTTACCGCAGAAACAATAGTAGTTCCTAGGGATTTGGGGCTTTGGGTACTCGACGCGGCACTTGGGGCAGGGCCAGACCAGGGAGCTGTCGTCGGGGACGACGGCGGCGCGTGAGGATGCACGCTCTCTGGCTAGGGTGGTGGACTGCTGGGCCCACGACTGGATGCAGAGGAGGTGGAAGATCGCGAAGCAGCGGGAGGAGCAGGACCATGTCGGATCAGTCGGCTTGATGCGCTCGAGGCAGATGAGGCAGGAAAGGGCGCCGGAGCGTGAGGAGGCTAGGAAAGACTGGATCTTAGCGAGATCGTGATTCTGATCGTGATGGGGAGAATTGTGGCTGGTCAGGTAGGATTGGAATATGGTGGAGGATAAGTCGGGGTGGCGGTGGGCGACGGAGGAATTGGAGGGGGAAGAGGCGTCTGAGTCGGAATCGGAGGATAGAGGCGGAGAAAGTGGCTGCGGCGGCGGTCGGGAGGAGGCGGCGGCGGAATGCATTTTTTCGGGTGACTGAATTTTTCCTTGCCGTGATTTTCCAGTAATTAGCTTTATTTCGTTCGTTTATGTACTGTTGAGCTTGCCGATGATAAAGCCCGTGGGAGACCGAAGTCTTTGAATGGGCGGAATTACCTTACTCAAAAATTTTGGCCTTTGGTAATCAGCTACATAAAATGATAGCTGCTTTTGACCACCGGATTGAATTACTCTTTTGATTAATTGTATGAACAGTTTGTAAAAAAAGTGTTTGTGGTATAATTAATTATTTTTAATTAGTTGTTAAGATATAATTATTTATGTTGAATTTATAATTATCTAAAAATAAAAATAATTAATATTTTAAATATTTATAAAATGATTTAAATTATGAAAAAAAATAATAGTAATAAAATAAAAATCTAAATAAGATCACATCATATAAATAAATCTAATAACAAGTCATCGCTATTTAAAAAATTTAAATATGAGTCATTGTAATATATCTCATTACAATTGAAAAAAAAATAAAAAATCAAAGTAACTAATATTTAAATGGATTACAAACGTATGATCATTACACTTTAACTGCGTTATTCTATTCCACCTCTTAGAAAGAAAAGAACTTAGCATGGCAAACAAACATTTATACAAAACTTCTACCCTAAGCACACACAACCGTAGACAGTTCATCAGGGTTTGATTGTTTATCAATCCAATTAAAAAAAACCAATCAAAACTCAAATTTAACTCAATTTTAACTCAACTCCACTATCTCCATTATTACCAATATATTTAAATAATTTCAACCAATCATTCTTACACATCACATCAATTTTAATTCACTATTCATCCACTCACATAATTTTAACTAACCATCATTTCCAATCATTTTTCTCTTACTTTTACATCTATCAACTTTAATTATTTTATTTTAAATATTATTTTAATATATCCACTAACAACTAGTTATACTAACTTTTTTCAAAAGTAACTATAGTTAAAAAAAATCAATTAATTTCTAGATGAATTGATAAACAATCACCCTAATAATTTTTAAAAGTTCTGATGGGCATCTAAGTAACTAAATACATTATTTATTTAGAATTTTAATTCTCCTTTTACTTTATTAGATTTCTCTAATTGTTTGGGTGTTCCTAAATTTTTTTTCACTAAATTTTCTAAATTGTTTGGATGTATATGCAACTTTGAAACTTTTTTTCACTAGATTTCTCAAATTGTTTGGATGTTTCTACACATTTGGAATATTGTTTTGAGAGATTATGTGATGAAATAAAATATATGATAGTGTGTTTAAGTAGGTGTCTATATATGTTTATAATTTTAGAAAAAAAATAGCTGGTAAAATTAGTTGCTAAGTTATATCGTAATTAGTTTGAATGAAATTTATATAGTTAAATATATCTCTTATAAATATTAGTTATATGAATGTGAATAGAATGGTGGAATTGTTATGTTTTTATACAAATTAGCAGTCGAGTACGTACACTTTAACCAGTCAACACTCTTTTTATAGTCAACACTCTTTTTATATTGGCTCAAAGTATATTGGCTGAAACCCTTATTGCATTGCCTTCGACATGAAATATAGTTTATTTTGTATGAGTTTAAAAGATATGATTTGTATCTACAGTTTTATAGGTGATTCCAACTCCATAAATCTTATTTGTACCAACTCCATAAATCTTATTTGTAGAGCGAGTTTTAGTCGAAATGAACCAAAACTCCAAAAACTCCAACTCCATAAATCTTATTTGTAGAGCGAGTTTTAGTCGAAATGAACTAAAACTTTATATTTTATGAACCAAAACTTTATATTTTTTAACCTAACTGTGTCTACGCATACAAGTCTACGCATACAAATCAACCTAACTGTGTCTACGCATACAAGTCTACGCATACAAATCGATTTAACCGTGTGTACTTTATATTTTATGAACCAAAACTTTATATTTTTTAACCTAACTGTGTCTACGCATACAAGTCTATGCATACAAATCAACCTAACTGTGTCTACACATACAAGTCTACGCATACAAATCGATTTAACCGTGTGTACAACTTAACCGCGTACAAATCAACCGCATACAAATCAACCTAACCGCATACAAATTACAAATTGATTTAATCGTGTGTACAACTTAACCGTTAAATATGATGCCGCCAATACTCAATCACAATTTATTGTGTCCATACAAATTAACTTAACCATTAAATTTGTGTTAGTGACGATAATTCCTTGGCCAAAATTTTTCAGTCGATACAAATTAACCTTGCTTTACAACATTACACATAGTTCGATTGAAATGGCTAGGAATGCAATATCATTTTAAATGTAGTCTCATTATTTAAACCGCACACACAAAAGTTTTGGTAAAACCAATTTAGGGAAAGCAAGAAAATTTGCAGACCCAGATCTCCAGCAGATTTGATGTCCATAGTAAAATACTAAAAACTATTGAAAACCATATTCACATTAATACGATAAATACAAGTTCATTACACCAGTACCGCACCGCTAGTGCACAACCAAACTCTCGACTCAGTCAGAACCACAGACCGTCACATTACAAGTTTCAGACCAAGCCCTTTGGACACACATATATATAACAAGAAAATACCCAAACGAGCCACACAAGGAAAACGCGCTATACTTTACGTACACAATTAACTTCAAACTTCGACAACAAAAGGACTCACTTGAGCATCAGACGAAGTCAAATCGCATGAGAAGCTTCACGTTGTTGTACTTCTCCCCCTTGCGAGAATGAAGTGAAACTGACCGGATACCTTTCCTCAGCTCACGCACGGGCAGGCACGTCTGCCCGGCAAAATCGTCCTTTTCGGACATGTCGTACTCATGAACCTCGATTCTTAGCAGGGCAAGCTCGGGAACAGTTAATGGGAACTCAAACACCTCGTCCCACGCGGGTATCCAGTTGTCTTCGAGAGTCTTTGTTTTCTTCATTATGGTGTCTGCCGGAACTCCAGCTATTCCCACCTTAGGAATCATAAATAAATAAGACAAAAAAAAACAGAGACTTGCCAAACTCATATGTATGGTTTTTTATTTATTTTTTTATTACTTAAGTTGGTGTTTGGAAGTTGGAACACCAACTTTGTTTCAAATCCAAGCATAAATTTCTGATTCTGTTCTATCAAATAAAGAACTTTACAACTCAGTCACCAAACACTATATCCTTGTATTTTTTTACAACTTTTAGCTTCTAATTTCGAACACCAACTGCTTTTGTTCTCATTCTGTTTCAGATAGATTACTTTTGACGAAACAGTTTCTTTTTATCACTCTTTGTCCTGCAAAATTCCCCCGTTATCTTTAGGTATCTCTCTGTTCAGTGTAATTTGCTCCATATCGCGAAGGAAGTTTGAACAACAATCTAAAGAATTATAAAAAAAATAAAAAAATAAAGAAAACTGAACATGCATGAACTGGCAAGCAAGCAGGAAAAAAAAACAGATGGCTCCATACCCTAGCATAAAAATCAGGAGGAGAGTAAGCGTCAAAATGCGTGTGACGGAAATCATAATACCATCCTTCACCCATATAGACAGTTACCTGTTTAACAAAAATTGAGCTTAAAAAACTATTGCACAAAGCTTCAGTTGGTGTAAGTTATACCATTACTGCAAGAATAAAAAAAGGGTATCTGGAAAAGAAAGAAAAAAAAAAAAAGAAGAAGAAGAAAAAAGAAAGAAAAACCCGTAAAAACTTTAGGCCTACCCTTAAAGTAGTTTTGACAGGTAATGTTGCACTAGGGTCGAAAACCTCTCCATATGCATCAGCATTCAACAAAAAGTTTGGTTTCTTAACATATCCACAACCACCATTGGCCTTGAACATACCATGCATCAACCAAAGTGATCTGCCATAACCCTGTTGGGACATTACATTATTATCTTCCTTAGATGAACTTCTCAGGATAATGCAACAATGGTTGCCACAGGAACATATCGTAGCTACAAATCTTGGTGACCCCATCAAGCCAATAATGTGATGTAGTTCAAAATAATTTGTGTCACCCTATTCCCATGTATCACTATAATCATGATGTTAATAATTACATTCAGTTGTAAATGGTACCAAACATTACTGCTGTTGCTATTGATCTATTAAAAGATTGTAATACTGTTACCATAAGAATTTTGGGTTATAATAAACTGAAGGAACTTTGTGGGAGAACAATGACATGATTCAGTATCCTTCTCCTCGGTCCTCAGAGAAGCTATACTAACCTGCATGTTGAATGCAACCATTTGTGCTCCATGTGTCCATCCGATTAGTGGGTTGTAATTGGACGAGTCAAAACGTATACCTTTAGGGTATACTCTCAGCATGTTCCTCTGAGTAAACCTGAAAAATGGACATTGGATAAACTGTAAAGGAAAATCATTCTACCGCCTAACAGCATCGATTTTCAATGTGTTTCTCATTAACCTAACAAAAGAAAGAAAGAAAAGGAAGCTGAGTTCTTTTGCTAATCCAACGCTATAAATGTGCAATTTCTGATTTAAATTGTATAACCCGTACAACAACAGGGTTTATCCACTTTTATAACAGACAGATGGCTTCACTATAGATACAACAATGTAAGAGAAACTATGTCTAGGACATTTGTGAGACAAATGATTTCTCAAAGGCATGCATTATGTTATCAGCTGACTAATTACTTCTAGCAGTTTGAGTTCAATATTCAGTACATCATAGGTAATCCCAATGTATGCATTTCTAGTAATTAATAGTCAAATGGTACATTCATAATGTCTATATATTACTAAAATATTCATTCATACATGTAAAAATCGGGAAACTTACTCAATTATTAAGCCTTCATTACACACGAAAGTTACCTGACAATATCTTTCCCATAAGTTACAATCGCCTTTTCAAGCTCTTGCTCGCTCAAGCTAAGTCGTCTCACTTTATTAGGATCAACCCTCAACCAGTCCTTCATTCCACCCTTACCTTTCCCAGCATGAATAGCGATCAGACGTCTATACTCTGGAGCCTCATTTTGCTGTTCTTTAGGATCCTCTTCATCATCTTCATCCTCCTCATCATCGTCATCATCCTACAAGAAAATTCGAGAGCAACTACGAACTTTAGAAGGTTTAAGTAAAACTCTTTCAGTATCAACAGGGAAATAGTTAAAAGGACGCACATTATTGTCATCCATTTTGGCATTCTTAACCTCACTTCCCCAAGCTTCTTCATCCTTTTCCTTCTTCGCGTCATTATTTTTTACCTTAACTTCCTTGGCCTGTAAGTACTCTTTTGGTGGTTTTGTTGATATAATTACCCTCTTCTTCAGAGATTCCGGAGAGGGAAACTCTTTCAAATCAGACTCAGGGCAAAATAGCATGTCTCCAAAAGTTTGTGTGATCATCTAGATTCATATGTTAGAAAAGTGATTACATGGCTAATGAATACTTAAATGCTTTAATTCTTGCATAAACTCCAGCGACTTACCTCAGCAACTTTGGCCTGAAGATCCTGAGTAAGATGGTCTTCCAGAGTTATCACAACAGGATATTCAGATGCAACAAATGCATGTTCTTTAATCGATCTAAAACATTTGATGAGCTCAACGGGAGTGGTCAACGTCCTAAAAGAAAAAAAATAAAAAAAAAATAAAAAAGGAGAATGAGAAGAGTGCAAAAGAGGACGAATTCCCACTGGAACCTCTTGAAGTAAAAACAACTGCAGATTTTAGGAAAACAATGTGGGAAGTACCTCCCGTGTAGAACATTGACATCATCATTAGTCGAGTTCGGCCATATATCTAACTCAATGACCCTTACACCCTTACGTAATGCATTTATTATGGGAACGTCACTGCAATCACTACTTAGCTGATTCCCCGTCAAATAAGAATTATGGCCCGTGTATATGAAGTAATGAGACAGAGGAGCATTCATGTCATGGTGAACCTGAAACATAAGAATATAACACTATGAGAAATTGGAGAATTCCTTTTTCGCAACCTGTGAATTAACTAATATCGGTAGTAAGCACTTTGCCACACCATAAAATCAAAACCACATCACATTGTGAATAACTCATACCCATCATTTTCCTAGTGTGGTCTCAGGAGAACATATCAAAATCTTGGTCAGACTAAAGATGATAAATCTCCATCAGTTGATTAATTTATCATAACCTTGACTTAATTTCTAACTATTTTCAGATGTATGCCAATCATATACACCTTGCCCATGAAAAGCAATTGTGAGAAATAGCATCTTAAAACACACAAACACACACATCTAAGAGTTTACCAATCTCCCAGGCAACTATCTCAGAGAATGCCTTAACAGGTGCCTAAACTTACCCCGAGCGCGGGATCGAGAGGCGGATTAGCATCCCCAAACAGGTACTTGAAGAACCCCTCGAGGTGGAACCCCCGGCGGTGGAACAACGGGAGGTGCTTGAGGCTGTCCATCGCCGCCTGCGCGTCCTCCGCCGTGGCGCCTTCCACCCCCTGGACCTCCGCCATGAACCGCCGCAGGTGGTCCGCCGTCATCACGCCGTTCTCCGAGTACCGCTCGAAGATCGCCTTTATATCCGCCGGAGCCTCCGACGCGGCGAGTCGGAACCGCCGCCGGAAACAGAAGCACACGCGGTAGGTCTGCTTGGACATCTTTTCGGATCGAGAGGATTGGTCAGGGTCAGGGATAAGGGGGAAGGAAGATCTCTGTGGATTGATTGCTTTTTCAGGATGAGAGGGACGTGGATTGCACGCACGCATTGGTATCCGTTTTCTTGGGGATGGGGATGGAAACCGGTGGTGGTGGGGCCCAGGCGGGTTTGGCTACGTTTCTTTTTTTGATAGAACTGCCCGCGGTCTGGCCACGGTTTTTCTGATAAATGGCAATTTCGGATTTTATTTTTCTGGATTTATCCAAACAGAACTTGAAACGGGCTGGTGAGTTGACGGTTGAATTTGCCACGTATTGTTTGTTGTCCCTAAAGATTGGGAGTGTATTGTTTGTGTGTGGAGTGCGTTTTGTGTCGGCAGTCTGGAAATGATGAGCATATGCTGCCACGTGGAGTATGTAATCGTCATAACGAAATATTGATTTTCTTAGGGCAGTCCAAATTCCAAATGTTTCTGCTTAAAAAATAAATATCGTGTTCTAGTGAAAGAGAAAGAGCCCCACGTATATGACTATCAATTTGAAAACTCGTAAATAAAAGATCATATATCACATCATGAAAATTCAATTTTCTATTAATAAATAATCCTAGACAGCACATCCGAAAAACTATTAATTTACAAACGTGGCGTTCTTATTTGTTATGAGATTCTTGGTGGTTCACTCATAATTTTTCTAAGATATTTATATTATTATTTTTATTTGCTTTATTAATTATATGTTTAAATTATTTTTAATAGTATTTTTAATTAGAATTTACCTACAGTGCAAAAAAGATTTGCTCATAGCAATCCATATATCTTAAAAAATATTAAAAATGACACTTGGTAATTTTTCATTAGGTATTGGAGATCCGTAGCATGAACACATTCGTACAAGTCATAGAGGTTAACTGAGCCAACTCAAACTCTAAGGTGATTGGAATTGGGTGATGTGAAAATTGATTTTGATTGGTTATGTAATTTTTTACACATTTAATTTAAAAATTAATTTAACTTTCTTATTTTTTTATTTATATAATTAAACAATATCAAACAATCATCCTCCTACATCACATTCACAAAATTTAATACTCATCATGTCCACTCACATATTATTAATACTCATCATGTCCGCTTTAAATACAAACTCATTCACATCTTCCATACCTCTACATATAATCAATTTTAATTATTATTTAAAGTATAATTTAAATACAAACTTAAATCACATCTTTTATATTTTCACATCTAATCGATTTTAATCATTATTTTAAATATTGAATTTCGCTCAATCGACTTTATTCAAAATTAATTTTTGTTCAATAAATCAAATCAAAACCAAAATGATCCATTTCCAATCACCCCCTTACTCAATTTTGGGCTTAAGCTTTTATCAAGTTGGACCAAGCTCAACACATTAACTAAACAAATTAATAAATAAGTGCAATTCAGTATTAAACGAGTCGAGCTCGACGTTAACGAGTTGAACTTAAATTATAATCACTAATAAGTTGATCTATAAAAAAAATATATAAATTATTTATTTTCCCAACATAATTAGCCGAACCGAGTTTACTACCAACCATTTCGTTCAAACACTTTTAGCCNATCAAACAAATTCAAATCTCACAAGAAGCTTCACGCATTTGTACTTGACTCCTTTTCGGTTGTAAAGCGGCACAGCCCGAATGCCTCTCCTGAGCTCCCACACGGGTAGACACGTCTGGCCCGCAAACTCCCCATTCTCCCGGACTTCGACCCGAAGCAAAGCCAGCTCGGGAACCGTGAGCGGGAATTCGAACGACTCGTCCCATGTTGGGATCCAGCTGTTGACCATTGCCTTTGTTTTCATCTTCATGGTGTCAGCTGGCACTCCCACAATCCTTATCTGTGACAGCCAACTTTTTGTGTAAAAAAAAAACAACAAAAGTACTACTAAAAATTAGTGACTTTGGTTAGTACATTTGGAGTTAATTGTTCAGTGTGATTCTTAAGCTTTAGAGTGGATATTTTGAACAGAATTAGCTTGCTTCGCTCAAGAGGGGCGTATTTGGTAGGTGGACACGAATATTTCCAGGGTATGCTCGCAACAAAAAAGAAAAAGAAAAAACGAAAATAAAACGAAAAGGAGAAAACTAGTTTTTCGTAGTTACTACTCAATAAAACTAGAAAAAAGGAAGAGGATGAAACATAAAATGATGATTGATGGGATAACGTAGAACTGTAGAGACAGTTTATTGGAGTATGAACAGAACGAAAAACGATTAGTCACGATGGCGTACCTTGGCATAAAAATCTGGGGGAGAGTAAGAGTCAAAGTGTGTATGAGAGAAATCGTAATACCAACCTTCACCCATATATACTGTTACCTGTTCGAAAGGAAACGACATTATATTAGACACCAATGGCTATAAGCAATTGAAATTTTTTACGATAGCCTCCATGCCGCCAGCTCACCCTCAGAGTAGTTTTGATGGGTAAATCAGCTCTAGGATCAAAGATATCACCATCTGGGGCAGCTTTCAGTAGAAATTCTGGTTTTTTGACATATCCACAACCACCATTGGCTCTAAACATTCCATGTACTGACCAAAGTGATTTTCCGTAACCCTGTGAAAAGGGATTTTCCATTATTCATTTATCGAGACAAAACCCACATGAGCTGTATTAAGTATGCAAAAAATTGGAGATGTAGCTCATTGNTGGTTATTATTATTTTCCTTTTCTATTTAAGTTGAACCAACTAATTCAGTCATCAGTTTAATCAAACTATTCATGGAATCTTATTTAGTTGTTCACATATGTAGGACAAAACAAAAGTGGTTCCTGGAGCCATTGTTATGTATTTTCTATGCCAAAGCATTGTAAACACCAATTGGCATGACGTAGCTCACAGATACAAGTGGAGTTGAAGTACCACCAAGGCTCAAGTTGCTAGTTGCAACCAAGCAGTTAAATCTTTACTAACAAGCATAAAACTACCATCAAATTTGATAAGAGGGTGACATGTAAGAAACCAACAACCAGAAATGACATTTCATATGATCTTATTCTGTAAATGCAGTGTTTAATCGAAGATAATATGCATTTTGTGATTACTTTTTTAGAAACACAATGATCAATCAATTAATTTCCAAGTTAGCATTAGTTACATAATTCTTTTACACTACCGAAAATAAAGAGCACTTAGAATATCATACTATAATATGCAGGATGTATGTAAACACACACAAAGATACATGCTAAATAGGATATCATTATAGCTAACCTGCATATTTAAGGCAACCATTTGAGCTCCATGTATCCATGCACTCATGGGATTATAATTGGAGGAATCCAATCGTATAGCTTTAGGATATACTCTCAATAGGTTGTTCTGTGTAAACCTAAAAAGTACTTAATGTGAATAACACGGTCAACTGTATCATGGCATTAAAAGATCTCAGCACAGACGATAAAGGGAAATCATGCAGCAAGTATGACTGAATATATCCAAAACTTATACCTAACGACATCTTTTCCAAATTGGGAAATGGCCTTCTCAAATTCTTGCTCGCTCAAACTAAGACGCCTCACTTTAGTTGGATCAACTCGCAGCCATCCTTGCATTCCCCCTTTGCCCTTTCCAGCAGGGATAGCAATAAGATTTCTGTATTGTGAGGCCGCTTGCTGCTGTAACTTTTGATCCTCTTCATCATCTTCATCACTGTCCACGCCCTCTCCATCCTCATCAGCATCCTGGAACATAAACTCTGCTCTTACACAAACAATATATAATAACTCTGGACGATTTATAGAGCAGGGCACCTTTTTCTTTTGCACCTTATTGCAATCAATTTCGGATTTAAAATCCACAACTAGTTTCCGCCGAGCTTCATCCTCAGCCGAATCTTGTCCCTTGTCTGAGCTGCTTTCATTTACTTCGACTTTTTTTGCCCCTAAGTATTCCTTGGGTGGTTTAGTTGATATTAAGACTCGTCTCTTAAGTGATTCTGGGGAAGGAAATTCACTCGGGGGCTCTGAACCCGGAATAAAAAGCATTTCACCAAACGTTTGAGTGATCATCTAGAATTAAGATAGCATGTGAGTTTTGTGAAGTTGTGAGAATTTTGAAAAAGATGGCATCGACTCTGTGTGCATACCTCAGCCACTAGAGCCTGAAGATCGGCAGTCAGATGATCTTCAAGTGTTACTACAACAGGATATTCAGAGACAGAAAATGCATGCTCCTTAATTGACCTCAAACAGGTAATTAGTTCTACTGGAGTAGTCAAGGTCCTGCAAAGAAAGCAACCTTCAACATATCAAAAGGAAGAAAAGCTTCAATTTACCGATCTAGACTTCAGAAAAGAGAAAACTTCGACACTATCCTAATAAAACTCATGATTGATCTGCCATATAGTCAACACTTAATCAGATATTTATTATTTATTCATTATTAGATTTCAATACGGTAACCAGGATCATTGACAACAAGATGCTGCTTACCTCCCGTGTAGAACATCCACATTATCTTTAGTAGAATTTGGCCATAAATCCAATTCAATTCCTCTTACACCTGCCTGGAGTGCACGTATTATAGGTATATCACTGCTGTCGCTACTTACTTGGTTCCCAGTTAAATAGGTATTGTGGCTTGTGTAAATGAAGTACTGAGACAGTGGAGCAGTCATATCTTGGTGAATCTGAAATGAAAAATGTACTAAGAAATTCTGAAGAACATAAAAAATTGCATGGTCTCATAACGTTTTTGTAGAAGTTAAAAACCTTAATGTATTTACTAGAAAAGAGATAAGGCGAAATCAGTAAATTTAAAAAGAATGCTATGTGAATCCTTTCAAATTTACAAAGAAAGGCCTTATCGAGAGGACACCAATTTAGTGGAGAAAACTACAGGGTGTAAAACAAAATATCCACAATATTTAAAAAACTTTTATGTTTACGAGACATGCGTAACAGTAACAGATCTCAAAACAACTCTGGTGGAGAGTTGTGATTACTTGGTGAAGTACAATGGCCATCACTCATCAGGAGCATTTCATATCTATGAAATTCAAAGTAATGGACGTTTTATGCAGCAATATCTGAGTAAAGAGATGCAATGCAGTGGTCCAAGTTCATACTAGTCAAGATACTTAAACATTGTACACTTTCAACAGACTCCCCAAGTTCATCCATGTCAAATTTTCGTACTCTTAACAAATCATCTAACAAAAATAATTAAGAACTATCCAGTGAGTTCGAGAATAATTTTAAGCTCAATAAAACAGTACTGCACTAAAATCTGAGAACCATCCAATGGATTCGAGAGTATTAATTTAATCCACTGCCAATCTCGGTCACATCAATCCCAGTCAAAATGTCACAATTATGCTACGATCGGAAGAAGGCAAAGCAAAACTGAAACTGGTGCTCTCAATAACAATAATAATGAAAAATTACCCCGATTTTCGGATCCAGCGGCGGATTAGCATCCCCGAACAAGTACTTGAAGAACGCCTCCAGATTCATCCCCCGCCGATGAAACAAGTGTGCGTGGTTGAGCCCGTCGATGACGCCCTGCGCGCCCTCCGCCGTCGCCTTCGCCTCTCCCTGCACCTCCGCCAGGAACCGCCGCAGGCCGTCGGCTCCCATCACCCCGTTCTCCGAGTACTCCCCGAAGATCCCCCTGATGTCGGCCGGCGCCTCCGCCGCGGCGAGGCGGAACCTCCGGCGGAAGCAAAAGCACACTCGGTAGGTCTGTTTGGACATGGATGTGTCGGTCAGCGCCGATCATGGTGCCCTCACCTGTATAATATAACCGTCGTGAAATTCTCAATCCGAATAAAAAATTAACGAATCGAACGGCGGAAAACGTGATTGGAATCGGCTATTCTTTAGTAGGGAATAGTTTAATCGAAGTTCGAAGCTTAAAGGTGAAGGAATCGACTGATTTCGGCCATGGCTTTTTTGCTTTCCTTGACGTGGAAAGCCGGTGGTGTTTTTCTGCGGGGTTTCACTTTCAGGGTTATATGTGCCTTTTTCCCGCGCGAATAAATGGTGGTTGAATTATTTGGCCTAAAATATATAGGATGACTCACCACACATGACACATGCTCCAAGTTTTTTTTTTTCTTTTTTATAAGAAAATTATTGTTAGAAAATATACATATATATAGGGTATTTTAAATATTAAATTATCATAGTTTACTATATAGTTTAAGAAATGACATAATTAAAATAAAGTTTTGTAGTATAAGTGTATTACTATGTCTCACAACTGAATTTTGCCCTTTCATTTTAATGTTCATGGAACTATTAGTAATTTTCTATATCATATTCATGTAGCTTATGTTTTTATATAGTTTTACTTTAATTGATTTATGTGCCTTATTACTGTTGTTTAATTACACACAACACAAGTTCTTGCATTAGGTGTTTTAACATATCAATTTGTTATACATTTTTAAGAAATATATATTTATGCTATGAAATGTCACGCGTTAACATTTCAAAATTTGAAAGCATTATTTTCAAATACATGTTGAAAAAGCATGTGTGGTTACTGATCATGGTTTCATATGCCTACAACTTGTAAACTTTCATTTCATATATATTGGAAAAGTATTTTCTTCCAAAGATCATCAACAGTTAAAAAAACACAAAAACAATTCACCACATTCCATATACATATGATCTCTCTTGTTCTCAACAAATGCAGCAAACTAATGTACATAGATATTACTCACTAATGGACCTGAGAAAAAATCAAGCAAAACATCATTGTCCAAGAGAAAGAACCACATTTTTTTCCTTTCTTTTTTCCAAAGAACAAAACATACAGAGAAAAATGCGCAAATCATTCGAACTTAAACCGCATGAGAAGCCTCACGGACTTAAACTTCTTTCCTTTCTTGTCGTACAATGGGACAGCTCGAATTCCAGGTCTCAACTCAGACACGGGCAAGCACGTTTGCCCACCAAAATCATCTTTATCCGATCTATCATACTCTCGAACTTCTATCCTCAATAAAGCTAATTCGGGTATTCTTAACGGGAATGTGAACTCTTGGTCCCAATATGGAGCCCAATCGTCTTCTATTACCCGTGTTTTCCTCTTTGCATCATCGGCTGGCACGCCGAGTATGTATATCTGCAAAATACATAATCATAGGCATTATAAGAGAGAGACCAAAATCTTTGGGTTTAATTGCAAATTTGCCCTGCATATCTTTAGAAATATAATTTCAAGACCTTTGTATAGAAATCCGGTGGCGAAAACGTGTCGAAATGCGTATGGCTGAAATCCATACGCCAACCGTCTCCCATGTACACGATTACCTGTTCCGAAAGAGAAATAGAAAACAAGGCAAAAAGGCTTAGTACAATTTTTTTTTTTTTATGATATTCATTTGCAATCTTCTTTAGACTAAGTTTGATAATCAAATAAGCTAGCTTGTGACTTATTTGGTTAACTTATAAGTTTCCTGTATTCAAATAAGTTTCGTCTTATAGGACGAGTTTTTTTAAAAAAACTCGAGCTTATCTCATAGCTTCTTTCGGTAGTTTTTCAAATAAGCTCTTTGAAATTTTTATTTTAGCTAATTTTGTCAAATACTTTTATCATAAGTCATCAGCTATGAGCTCAAAATTAACATAAAAATTATAAGCTAACTGATACCAAACATAGTCTTAATGATTCTTTTGTTCTTTGCAGTCACCTTTAACGTTTTTCTGACTGGCCACGGTAAACTGGGATCAAAGGGCTCGTTGCTTCGGTTTTTCTCCATAAGAACGTCCGGTTTTTTAATGTAACCACACTCGCCGTTGCATCTAAACAAACCTTGCATCATCCATAAGGATTTTCCATACCCCTGTTATTATTATATCAATGGATTTAATTATTTCATTTTACATCAAATTTTTTCTTTCTCTTTACGACTAATAAAAAAAAAAGGTGACCTGCATGTTAAAAGCGACCATTTGTGCTCCGTGAATCCACCCGTTAATCGGCCTAAAGTTCGACGAGGTCACGCGCGTTCCCTTAGGATATACCCTCAATATGTTCTTTTGTGTAAACCTATACAATAAGTCGAAAAACAAACTCAAAATATTGACGAATGAATGAAAAATTTTGAAAGAGTATCCAATAAGAATACGATTATTACATACATTACCTTACTACATCAGTAGCGTACAATGCGGCAGCCTTTTCGAGTTCTTGTTCGCTCAAACTAAGTCTAACGGCTTTATTACCTCGGATTTTGAGCACTTGCCTCAAGCTCTTGTTTTTCGCATTCCCTGCATGGATGGCTATGAGACGCTTGTACTCTGGTGCAGCAGCTCCCGATTTCTGATTAAAGCTTTCGCAATCTTCATCATCACTATCACTCTTTGAGTAGTGTTTCCACATTCGAAAACATCCAAATAAAAAGTAACAAAATTAGCTAAACGATCATTCATCGGTAGTAAAAATAAAAAAATAAAATAAAAAGGAAAAAATCGCGAAATAATAATAATACCTTGTCATCACCTTCGGGTGGTTCAGGCTCGTCGTCAGAAGAATATTTTTCCTTTGGCGACGAGGATTCTCCATCCTTGTTGTTAACAATATTCGTGCCCAGGTATTCTTTTGGTGGCTTTGTGGAGAGTACGATTTTGTGTTTTAAGGCCTCAGGCGAAGGAAATTCCTCCAAGCAACCCGATTCAGGGCAATATAGCATGTCTCCGAAAATTTGAGACACCATCTATAATCATTTGAAAAAGAACTCAAAGAGTACTCTACAAACATTATCATTTGAAAAAAATGAAAGAAAAGTATTCCAATTTCCACCTCTGCCACTTTAGCCTGAAGTTCTGGTGTAAGATGATCCTCTAATGTAATAATAACGGGGTAGGGAGATTTAACGAACGCGTGCTCTTTAATGGACTTCAAGCATTTCATGAGTGGCACTGGAGTTGTTAGAGTCCTGCAAAATATGTTCTTAACCCATAGACTCGATTTTTCACATACATGAATGGATTCAACTGAGAACTATTTCTCACCTTGAAAACGTTGAAAATGAGAGGCTTACCGTACCTTCCATGAAGTACATGCACGTTGTCCTTTGCGGAATTAGGCCACAAATCGAGCTCTATGCCCTTCACGCCATTTTCGAGAGCTTTAACGATCGGGATTTCGCTGCAGTCACTGCTGAGCTGGTTTCCAGTCAAATATGAATTGTGACCTGTGTATATGAAGTAATGTTGCAATGGAGCAGTCATGTCATGGTGCACCTGATCAGCATATTAATTTCAACAAAATCATCAATCTAATTTCATTCCTAATTAAAGCCAAAAAAAAAAAAA